CAGCCCTTGGTCCAGTTGAGAAACAAACAGATTTGTTGTGGTTGGCTGTGACCCAACTAACAGCTTTGACAGACTAACAGAGTTCGAGGAACCCGATGGTTGGAAACAGACTTGTTGTAGTCTGCGATAGCACCATAGAGCAGCTCACGTAGGGCACCTTTCTTTGCTCCCGGAGCCACCTGCTTGAGTCGCACGCTCTCTTGGAAGAGAAGCATCATGTCCAAGGCAGAAGGCCGTGTCTTCTCAGCTGTCCGGTTTGCCAGGCCTGCAGGATGGAGAAGGTGACAGGTGTGTTTTGTTATTTTCAATCTTAACTTCAGCTTACATACAACCTATGAAAACCAAGTCCCTGACTCAAGGTTTCATACAGGAACTCTTCAGGTTTGTTGTGCTTGCGGTAGTTGCACTTGATGAAGCGAAAGCTAGCAATTGATTTGGCAAAGGGCTCATCCTCTTGCAAAGCATCTTGCAAAGCATCTATGCCCTGAGTTGGTCCATTTTTCTGGTCAATTTTTAATAAACCATTTTGCCACAACAACAAGGGAATAACACTATATAGATGGGTCAAAAGTGTGCCAAGCACACTGGCATGGATCCAAGTCAGCCAGCAGGGCCATGATGCTGATCATGATGATGGCCTTGTTTTGGCCATCCACATAGCCTATTGAATACGGCTTGATGGTATAGATCGTCTTGTCAGTCTCCACAGTGGTAAAATCAAATTTGATCTCCAGGCTCTCCCGGTGGGATTCAAACCCAGAGTCCAACAATGAACCAAAGTGGGCTTTGTAGGCATGGTTTGCTGGCCAACGTCCCACCAAACCATATTTGGCATTCTCAGCAAAGGAGAGGTTCCACAAATCCACATACATCCCCTTCATGGAAGTCATTGGAACATGCACCACCGGTGCTTGCGGCTCCACATGCTTTGCAATGCAGGGCATCTCAAAGATTTTCTGCATGACCTCAAGCAGCTTGGAAGGGAAGCTTAGGGGATGATAGCTTAGGCAAGGTTGGTGGAATTGAAACCAGACATGTTAATGTGCCAATCAAGTAGCATCATGCAAGGTAACTTTGCCATCATCGCTCCCATACTTTGTCCACAACCAATTTCCAATGTTCTGGGAACTGGTGATCTGCAGGGTAAGTTGGGAGAACATACAAACCATACAATGTCAATCATGCAGTTTCCCTGATTCAAACAACCACCCTGCACCTCTTCCATTCTTGCCGTCAATACAGCCTTGAGGGAGGTATCAGCGTCAGGGTCAGGCGCCTAGGTTCAATACGCATACCATAAGATGAAACACAACTGGTTCAGAATCAAATTGAACACAGACACAGACCTGTTTAAATGAGTAGAGGGGCCACTTTATCAGCCATTTTGGGAGTATCCTTCAATGCACCCATCGTTTCATCCTTCTTTTCCTCCTTCTTCACACTCTCCCCGTCCATGGCTGAGGATAGCAATGGAAGACTATCAGGTGGCTTTGGCACAAGGGATCCACGTCTTTGGCTGGCAGGACAGTCGAGAAGAGTTCAATGAAAGTAAAACTCAACAGTATCAGATCAGAATAATTGGAAATGATTAAGTTGGAATCTATTGGTTGACACAATAGTAAGTAGGCACACACCTTTTTTTGCTGAGCCCCATTGATCAATGGAACCGATGAAAGGTCACCCTCATGGTGTGGATGGTGTGAATCTCAGGGGTTCCAAGAATCACAGCACCTCTTTGAATTCCCACCACATTCAAAAGCAAAAACTCTATCCTTTTTGGAGGTTGACGGGGCAGGGCCATTTGCCCTGCCAAAGAACGAAGATAAGCAACACCCCGGCTGTACTGGTTGTAGTGGGTCTCAATGTAGTCTGCCAGTTCAATCAGCACCTCCTTTCGCTCATCATCCATATAAACAGCCACGCCTAGTGATGTTTAACCCTGCATTGAAAGTAAGTAAACATGACATGGAAACAATTTGATTTGGTTACCCCCCCATTGCCTGGGACTTGGTTGGAAGCAATGCGACGTAGTGCATCCATACTTTCATTTGCCATGGTCCCAGGCCAAACCACCAGAATGGACTGGGACAGTGTGACATCAGAGATGAAGGCCTTTACCATCAAGAACACATCATTAGGGCTTTCTCCACCAAACCTTGGAGGAATCCGGTTTCCAACTTCTGCAAGTAGGTGTCGCGGCATGCCTTGGCAGTCTAGTGTTCAGTTATGGAACCTTGGGGTGGAGACAGCTAGCTAAGCTGAAACTTATGATCCAAGCTGCAGTCCCGCCGAGCAAAGACAAAGCTATGTGGAATCTCCTTGAAGTCAGTGTTCAGCTTTCTTTTGCGGTAAGCCCCTGAGAGAGTTGAAAACTTTGCCATGGAGTCTGTCCAATTCCGGATGCTGGTGATGTACTCTGCATGGAACTCCAAGCCAGATCGAGCAAGGCCACTTTCCAGCCTTCGCTTCAGCCACCTGAGCCAAGGCATCCAGATTATGGCTGAAGCAGGGACTGCAATGCAAATGCAATGATGACACTCAGCTTTATAAGTGAGGCACGAGATAATGTCAGAAGGGGTTTGCCTAAGTTAGACTTCTTGAAACCACTTTAGGCAACATGATGCAAGTAACAACTGCATAGACTCCATACGCGTGACCAATCTTTTCAGTTGAGTCACATGGACTCATCTGCTTGTCGAATAAGCTTGGCAATGAGACCAAAAAAATGCGTCTTAGATGTGTGATGATAAACATAACATGATATGTGACATAGATACATTTGTGAGAGTTGTTCTGAGCTGCAAACCGACATCAGCATGTGTATGCCCCACACACACAAATGCTCATGTCCAACTGTGGCAAATTGGCGAGTGGTTACCAAATGGCAACAGTAGCGCCCCAAGAACCCATTCCGGTATTCCTAAGCACTGGCATCCATGAAGCCAAGCAAACAGGTACACTCAATCTGAACATTTTGTGTTTTCCTTAAGTTTTCCTTCAAACTCTTCTTCAAGGAATGTTTCCGCTAAGTGCTGCAGCTGCAGGGATTGTGCCAAGGTACTTTGGGGGTGTTGTCAGTGAATATTCGCAAATGATTGGGCCAAGGTTGATGATTTTGTTGGCACTTTGTAAAAGTCTTGTCCAGGCTCAATGATAACACCTCCAAGCTCCAATTTGCACCAGTACTTTGTTCGGCATCGGTGACATATACATAGACACCATGACCGTGCATCAAGCACGCTGTGAATTCCAACTCAGGTCTTTTCTTGGTCTCTAGGTTCTTTGGTGTTCTTCCTGCTGCAAATCGTGGAAGCCGGAATTTTGATTTGTCCATAGAATCGATGATGCATGTCAAGAGGTCACCCTGGACCTTGGCCCTGTTCTTCAGCTGAGCGTACACTTGCCGATCTGCAAAGACACCGCTCAAATGTCTCATATATTTGTCACAGGATTTGGCATGTTCATTCAGATCTCGGGCATTGTGGATACCACTTTTCAGCTTGTGACAGGTTGAGCATTGTGCATGTGTTGATTCTCCACGGAACTTGATCTTCTTGCGGCACCCAGAGGATTGCAGGACCCGGAAAAAATGTTGACGCTGAAGCTGTTGGTTGTTCCTGTGCAAAGCATTCAGCCTGGTATAGGCGGTATAGGTCTGAATAAGTCCCTGGTGGTAAATACCTTCTTGGTAGAGTTTCTGGATCATGGTTTCCAACACCAAGATCCATCTCAAAGGAATTTGTCATCAAACTGTCAAGGAGTTTTTGGCGACCCTCTTCTGTAGAGGCCCATTGCTCTCTGGGGTTGAAATGCATCCTCAGGTTAAGACAATAATCTATGGTCATTGATGTTCACAAACTCTTCAAACACATTATGTGCTGTGTGGGAGATTGTGGGAGAAGCTAGGTTCCTGGCTCATGGGGCAGATCTTCGGCTATCCCAAAATAGGTTTTTTGCAAGAAGGCCAGGACAGATGCAGCTGCAGGTGCACTGTGTGACTGATGTCCTTATATACTAATTCAATTTGCACCAGACTAAGTATAGTGTCATTGTTGAAGCTTTGAAAAAAAGAACCAACCAACCAACGGTTGAAAATGCCAAGTCTCCAAGTCCTCGATGGTCTGTACCACGAAAATTATTCTTGCATCTCAGCAGACGTTCCCTCCCAACACCAAGGACATCCAGCCAAGCTTGCCGGCATACTGGAATGCCTGAGGCCGGGCAAAGTGCTGGAGAATGGCAAGGGCTACAAATCACCATTAAGAACAAGTTGCCTTGAATGAACCATGAAGATCTCTTCCTTCTGGAGGAGGAGCTCTTTTCAGACCCAGAGGAGCAGCTATCGTAATCAGAGTCAGATTCATCCCCTCCATCTTCATTGTTGCTATCCCCCATCAGGGTTGAAGGATTTTGCAAGCTCCACAGCCTAATTTGGCAGCCAAAGGAGTTGTCCAAAAGCATAAAACAAGTGGAAATGAAGCAGAAATGCCAAGTGGCATGGAGTCCTGTGAGCCCTTGGCCAATGACCAGAATGTGACAACCAGGGTCATCACCACTTTCAAACTGAGAGCCCGTTTGCACTGCCTTTTGCAACATGTTTTTTTGCAGTGCCATCTCAACTCGCTCAGTGGACTTTCCATTCTTCTGGTATGTGTTGTCATTGCCCGCAATGCCTGAGTTTTGGCGTTGAGAAACAAGGTCCAAGCCAGCAAAAATACATGGAAGGACTAGTGGAAGGAATATATATATATATAATGTAAAAATAATGTTGAAAAACAGTGTCCAAACCCTAGTCTAATGTTGGACGAAGTTCTTTGCTCATCCACCTCCAAAGATTGCAGCTGATTCCATGACAGATTCCGGACGTTATCCACCTCAGGCTTGGCCTTCTTTGGCAGTGGCTCCACTGTGCTGGATGAAGAGCTGGAATCACTGCTGGAGCCACTACTGTTGGACGAGGAGGCACTGAACCGCTGCAATGCCATGGGTGAGTTCAACAAAACTGAGGAGTTGTTGCCTCATGTTGCCTCATGTTGAAGTGCCTGCCTTCACACAATAAGTGGAACTACAGAATGAATTAACTAAATTGCCATTGCTGGACCCCTGGGTTGAACCATTGTTGACAGCCAGTTGCACCAAAACTTGCCAATGAAACCAAACACAATGATAGAACTAATTTTAAGGCCACCACAGACTATGTTTTCAACCGCTCTGTCGCTCACCATCCCTCTTGGTTCAATGGGAACTGGTCTTCCCGGGTGATGCTTTGCCTGTTCCAGGCATTGATATCTACAGCGCTGAACCCGGCTATCCATCCAGCTGCTGCTGCTCGGATATTCATAGCATTGCCAGCCAAATCTTCCAGTTCCTGGGTTCTGAGTTCCAACAAGTATCAAGACAACTTACCATATAATGCATGGTTGCTGACAAAGATGCACGCTTGCTTAGATGGCTGACATCGATGGCGCTCATGGGAAACATTTGGAAGAGCATTTTCTCAATATCTTCAGGGGGCATGTCACTGTCACGATGACATTCAAAAACATCCACAAATATTCACAAATATGCTTGCAAAATCAGCCTGCCAGGCCTAGCAGGTACCGGCCAATCCCCAGGTGGTAGAACTCGCCACATGGAGTGATGCATGGGATATGCTTAGTCAGCCCCATTCTCTCAACAGATTGGCTCAGGTTCACAAATCCTTTCATGTTTGCAAGCTTCATAATGGCGATTGCCTTGGCTTTGGGTTTGGGCCAGCAACAATTGAAAGTCCCAGCTTCTGAGCAAAACCAAAAGGAATGCCACGTTGCATGCTGCTGCCGAGGATTGGAGATGTGCTCCAACTCACCCTTGTGGTCCTTGATGTACTGGACAACTGCCTTTGGATCTACCTGGACAGGGAGGCAGGTTGGATCCTGACTCGGATGTGGGAAGCAAACGTGTCTACAGGAGATGGGCCTCCAACACCTTCATGAACTCCCAATGTTTGTGTGGCCATCGAGGCCTGTTCTTCTTTGGCCTTGGTTGCAATATGGTAGATCTAGTTGCAAAATCTTCCTTCAATCATTGCTTCTGGCAAGTAACTTCTGGAGGAGATAGATGCCAATGTCATCTTCTTTTTTAGGCCTGGAGCGCCTATTTGCCATATCCCGTTGAACTTCCTCATGGTTGTCAGGGAACATCAAACGCTGCCTTGGTTGGGTAAGCAGAATCAACAACAACAATTTTGCCATGTCTTTGAATTTGTTAGTTGTGTATGCCAGGAAACGGATCTGGTGGTGGGCCAACCGTTTTCATTGTATTTATAGTCTTTTGCAGAACAGACTCCAGCTTGTCATTGGAGTCAATGTCTTGCCTCAGGATCGAGTGATGGATGACCAGGATATAGATGCGGCGACGCTTTGCAGCATCTCCCAGCGCCAGGGGGGTCCACAATGACCTGTTTGGAATATGTTGGAAGCATTGCCCCCCCTGAAAAATTCATATTGCAAGTTGCCTTCCCATACAAGTAGCCAAACTTCTTCAGTTTCTGGAAGGCCCTGTCTGCCTGCACAGATGCTAGAAAGAATGATGATGTTCCACAACCATGCCAAAGCAAAACATATCAAACAAATACATTGCCTGGTCCCAGACCTTCATCAAACCAATGACATTCTCCAATAGGCATATGAGGGGAGATGATCGAGCTATCTCTGCCAAGCAGGAAAAGAATACTCTTGCTTCTCTCTCCTGCAAATACCGACTTTGGTGGTGAAGCTGACTGAACCTGAGTTGAATGGGTTTTTGTCAAATTAGATGAACCTTAAACTTAAACAGGGCCATTTCAAACTCACACAACAGATGCACAGTGGGCCCTGAAGGTGAGCAAGGAACGGCTTGCAGCTGAAGCCACATGCATAGGCGTTTTTGTGTTTGGCAACTGCGCTAGTGTCCCTTTCCTCCATTGAGGTGAAGATCCTTGTTTGTGTTCAGAAGGCATTGAATGTCAATTCAATGCAGCAAAAAGATATAGTATCTCAAAACGCTGTCCAGTAATGTTCAAGCAAAGCGTCCTTCGCGGCGACAGATTCTTAATTATGAATTTCAAAGGGCCAACAGCACGGTCACACCTTCCAGGGTTTCAAGACAGGGTCATAAACCTCTTGACAGGGTCATAAAGCCGTTTCAAGCCAAGATGCGAAGACATCAGGAAGGATTTTGTAGGCTGTATGCTGAGTAATCCATAGAATGCACCTTCAGCACCGCTGCAATCTGACTGCAAAAAGACAGGATGCATCTTCTCAAAGAAATTGACCATACCTCAGGGGAGGGGAGGTATGGGATGAGTTCCTAATCTTTGTTGGATGACCCAGTAGTGAAAACCCATGAAAACCCTTTGGGGGGCAGTTTATCCCACTCCTGCTTTGCGAAGCAGCTCGTGGCCCCATTCTTTGCCATCCAAATACCTCTTTTGCTCAGGTGTCATCTCCACCTTTTGCCTGTGCTGGTCGGACCTGAGTTCATTTCGCATGGACTGAAAAAGTTGCACATTGGAGTGTGGTAACACCAGGGATGCCGCTGTCCCACTTCGGAAACACTCAGGGAAAGTAAATTCTAGGGAAACATCCAGGAAGGTTAAAACATACTAATCCCATTTGGTGCTGTTTCCAATTTTGGGGAAAGCCAGGGAAATCAAAAACATACATAAATCCCTGCTGGTGCTGTTTCTTCTTTGCAAGGAGAAGAGGTTTGAGATTCATCTCTAAGGATGCAGAATCGTCGGACTCCTCAGAGTCATAGGAGTACTCCTGCATATACTCATCATAGGAGCTTGCAGACTGGTTCTCCGATTCTGATGAATCCACCTCCACACGTCCTGATACCATGAGGGCTTTGGATATTAAGGGTTTAGTTTGGGATAAAAATCCTGGACTGTGCAAAAAATAAAAATAGAACTAAGTTTGGTTCTAGACACCGGCTGTTCCAGGAACTCTTGCCATTCTTTCATGGCTACGGCTGCGGTCCCGATTGAACAACATCCTGTTCAAAACCCAAAGACCCTGTGTCTAGACAACTTCCAACTTCATATGATTAGCCACTCTTAGTTTACATCAAATTTAGTTGCCTGGCAGCCTTGATCTGAACTGCTGCAATACTTGGAGTCAAGGAGTCAGAGACCTGGTTGCACTTGACAAAGGACCTGGTCTGTATGACAGAGTCTTAGATACTTCTCCCAGTCGACATGGAGGCGGCCACTCCCATTAGCCAGTCCACGTTCCTGGCCGTCACCGTTCAACGCACCCTTCGGCACGTCCGTGGCCGGAACTCCACCGGTCGGTGTCCCGACTCCACCGGTGCCCACTGCAGCTCCGAGTGCCCACGCAGCGCGGAAGAGGCCCAGGAGCTTCTGAAGGCGAGTCGGTTGAGTTGAATGGGAATCCCCCATGCGGTTTACTATTATAAGGAATTATACCTACCACCACAATCCACTGTGGAAGACACTTTCTTTCAGGTGGTAGGCCGCAGATGATTTCGCTTTACAAGTTCAGGGTGTTGTGTTACTATCAACCCCACAACCCACAACTCGTATTGGTTTGGTGGTTTGGGTCCACCAACCGGAGCATGATCAAGGTTTTCTGGAAGACGATACTTGTTAGAAACAGGTGACATTCGTGCGACAGTATGACCCAACAGCCAGCCTCGGTGCGTACATGATGGGCCTATGTC